CTGGGACTACAAGTGCGCACCACCATGCCTTGCTAATTTTCGTATTTTTAAATAGAGACAGGGTTTCACCATGTTGGCCAGACTAGTCCTGAACTCCTGACTTCAGGTGATCCACCTACCTCAGCCTCTCAAAGTGCTGGGATTACAAGTGTGAGCCACCATGCCCAGCCCTGTTTTGCTTATAATTTAAAGATTTAAAAAATATTAGAAATCATATACTTGACAACTATGTAAATTTATTTTGACAATGTTAGATGTAATCCCAAAATGTATGAAGAAATGCACTGATTTAAAAAATTTATTTGGGGATATGCTAGAAAAGTTTTTGAAGGCCATTATTTTAAGATATCTCAGATCTTCTGATCTTCAACCTTTGTGAAAAGATTACCTAAGCCATGGCACATGTTTACAGGGCCTTCGTTTCAGCTTGATACCTCCTCAGCCTCTATCTAAAAGCAAAACTTGCTCTCAGGTACAGACTGATTTTGTGCATGTGGAAATAAAAAGAATTGGATTAGCCAGTCACAGATTTCACAAAATGTCCCAGTACTGTAGTAATTGAATTGCTGCCAGGAGCAGCTGTAAATAAAAAAGAAATTTGCTGCCCTTCAACTGCAATCCTTTTTGTTTTAAAACCACAACAAAAATCCTGTCCTGGATCACCACAACATAAATGAAGAAGCTTAAAAAGAACATCCTGGCCAGGCGCAGTGTTTCACGCCTGTAATCCCAGCACTTTGGGAGGCTAAGGCAGGCAGATCACTTGAGGTCAGGAGTTCGAGACCAGTCTGGCCAACATGGTGAAACCCCATCTCTACTGAAAATACAAAAATTAGCCCGGAGTGATGGTGCATGTCTGTAATCCCAGCTACTCGGGAGGCTGAGGCAGGAGAATCACTTGAACCTGGGAGGCGGAGTTTGCAGTGAGTCGAGATTACATCACAGCACTCCAGCCTGGGTGACAGAGCGAGGCTTGATCTCAAAAAAGCAAACAAAAAAATCCTATTAGAAATACAGAAGCTTAAATTAAAAACAAAATACTGAGACTGAACTATAGCAGCTCTAGGATCTATTGTAAAACCCATGTTTAGTAAAGGCAACTAGTATAATCTCAGACAAGTCTGTCAAGTTCTCTGCTATGGTTTACTGTTTCCAAAGAAACAAAGCACTGACTCAACTCAGTAAATATTTTTTGGATACCTATGCAACAGGTGCTAAAGGAAATCCAAAGTTCTATGCTAAAAGATTGCTACCCGCAAGGATCTTGGTTTAGTAGAGAAGGGGAATCAGTTCCCAAAAAGACTGAGAAAAGTGTCACTTATTCCTGTTACGGGCTTTAGAAGAACTAGTGGCAATATGAAAAAAGATATACTTTCACAAAGCTTGAGTGGAAAAGAAAGTCGAAAAAAAGACATTAGCTGGAGGAGGATGTAGAATAAAGATGTTGTTTTAGGATTTATTCAACATATTTTTATTGACCACATTTTTTAGGCACTGTCTTTTTTGTTTGTTTGTTTTTTGTTTTTTTTGGAGACGGAGTCTCGCTCTGTTCCCCAGGCTGGAGTGCGGCGCCATCTGGGCTTACTGCAAGCTTCGCCTCCCGGGTTCATGGGTTCACGCCATTCTCCTGCCTCAGCCTCCTGAGTAGCTGAGACTACAGGCGCCTGCCACCGCGCCCGGCTAATTTTTTGTATTTTTAGTAGAGACGGGGTTTCACCGTGGTCTCGATCTCCTGACCTTGTGATCCGCCCACCTTGGCCTCCCAAAGTGCTGGGATTACAAGCGTGAGCCACCGCGCCCGGCCAATTTAGGCACTGTTTTACATCCTGGTGATTAAGCAGAGAATAAAGTAGACAGAGCCCCTCTGTTTTAGTTAGGGAATTGGCTAAGCTGCTCTACCAGTTCCAAACAAACAATGATTTTTAAAAGAACAAAGTTTATTTTCTCTTGCATAATGGTTCAGAAGTCTGTGATCCAAGGGAGGAGGTGCCCCAGCTTCCTGAGACTCGTTTGGGACTTAGGCTAGTGAGAACAGTTTGCCTTCCTTAATACCTGGCTTCCATTTCAAGTCTTTTCTTCCATTTCTTTTTGCCACTTGCCAGAGAGCAGGAAGAGGGAAGAGAAAGGGTATAGCAAGCAACTTTCTTTTTAAGGGACAGGATCCAGTCCTACTCACATCTTACAGGCCACAACTTTTTGATATAGCCTTATCTTGCTGAAAGCGAGGCCAAGGAATTTCATGTCTAAATGGGTCACCAAATGCCCTGCTCAGATTTGAATGTAGAGATATTTCCTCTTACTAAAAAGAAAAAAAAAAATACATAATGAAAACTGGGGATAAGGAGAAGACACAGTCTAGAAGAAGACAACTATAGAAAAGTAAAGAGATGGCGTGTATGTGAAGTTGTGGTGTCATGAAGACAAGAACAAAGGAACTAATTTATAGGTAGTCAGTGACAAGTGAGCAGAGTCTTGAGTGAAGGGAGAGTATGAGTCATGTAGATTTCTGCATTCCAGACAGAAGGAATAGCTAGTGAAGAAGCCCTGAGGCAAGAGCATGCTTGTCATGTTTAAGGAACAGTGAAGTCACAGGGATAAAAGACAAACCAGAAGAAAGTGATGATATGGAACCAAGCAAATGAGACATGTCAAGAGAGAGGAAGTAGTCAAGAACAACAAAAGTTGCAAGGGTGAAGCTTTGGCCATTGAAACTGGCAGCATGGAGCTCACAGGTGACCTTGACAAGTGGCAGTTTTGTGGCATGGTGGGCATGAAGGACTGAATGGAGTGAATTCAAGGGAGAGAGGAGGAAGTGGAATCACAGAGAGCAAATATGGTCCTCTCCTTTGAAGAGAAAATGGGAATGACTTGAGTATGTGTTGAAGGTAAAGAACCAGTAGAAATGGAGAGGCTAAGATACATGGAAGTGGAGTAATTGATGGTGCAAGGTCTCAGAAGAGGAGAAATATGTGGAGTTCCTCCTTTTACTCCTTGTCACCAAAAAGAAGATAAGAATGGTAGTGAATCAAGATGTTGGAGGAGGGCAGGAGGAAGTAGTGGGAAGTTGTGGAAATTCTACCTAATAGTTTTAATTTTCTTTTCTGAAGTAGAAGGCAGTGTTATCTCCTGAGTGCAAGCAGAAAAGTTGTCCTCAACTATGAATAGTAAGAGTAGAAAAGGAAGAGATTTGTATTGATCTGAGGTTTTGTGTGGGGGTTTGAGGCCAGGGCTAAAACCATTGAGAAGATTGACAAGATAGTGTTTAAAGTGATGAATACTGCTGTGTCTCCTCTCAATAATACAGCACTTTCTTCAGCCTACGCTCTTCTAATGGCAGGATTGGAAAGGCAATACTTTCCCCAAACTCATCATCTTATCAAAACCATCTGCCACGAAGATCATCAAGACTAAGCTCATAATGCTGTTTATAGCCATCACCACCACAAGCCCAAGATTACCCACTTTTAAGCATGAACATACAAGTGAAGACTGTCAGACATCTGAAGACTGCCTCAAGGTCAGACTCGTGACACCTGAGGCAGCACCATTCACTCAGTTTTGGGAACAAAAAACCTGGAATCCTCTTTCACCGTCATTCACTTGGTCAATCACCAACCTCTGTTCATCCCACCTCTAAATATTCCCCAGGGCACCCACTTCTCTCCATGCCCACTCTCCATGCCACTGGTAACCTGCGTTTCTGTCATCCCTCATTCTGATACTCTACCCCTCCAGCTCTCTGCGCAAAAACTGATCACACTGGCCGGGCGCGGGGGCTCACGCCTGTAATCCCAGCACTTTGGGAGGCCGAGGTGGGTGAATCACGAGGTCAACAGATGAGACAACCCTGGCCAACATGGTGAAACCCCATCTCTCCTACAAATACAAAAAATTACCTGGGCATGGTGGCGCCGTGCTTGTAGTCCCAGCTACTCCAGGGGCTGAGGCAGAAGAATCCCTTGAACCCGGGAGGCGGAGGTTGCAGTGAGCAGAGATTGCGCCATTGCACTCCAGCCTGGCGATATAGCGAGACTCCGTCTCAACAAAACAAAACAAAATCAAAAAAAAAAAAAAAAAAAAAAAACTGATCATACCACTTGCCTGATTAAAAACGTTTGATGACTCTACCATTGCCTTTAAGAAAAAGTCCATCCAAACTCACTAAACTGGTTTCCAACCCCTTTCTGACAGCATCTTAATCTCTCCCCACTTCCTCTGCTCATTCATCCATACCTACTGCCTCCTCACTGCTATGTCCTCTCTCCTGACCCAGCACTTGCTCTTTCTCAGTGCTAGAAGACTCTTCTCTTCCAGTTCCCACTGCCCTGTTCCCTTACCTGGCTAATCCCATACTCATCCTTCTTGTCTCAGCCTAGTAGTCCTTAAGGAAGCTTTGCTGACCCCGAAGCTGAGCGGGCGTCCCTCCTGTGTAGCACTGTGTTAGCCCTACCAAGTCAAGGCTCTCCTTGCCTGTTTCCTGCCCGGACCATGTTTTTTTACTTCACTCCTGTCTCCTAGGTATTCCAGCACAGTGCTGGGTACATAACAGGTGATCAAGACAAGTTTGTGGAATGACTGAGTGAATAAATCATTAACCAAATACCTTGGATCTCCTACTACATCATTTGCAAAAAAAAAAAAAAAAGTTTAATAGAAATTACGATGGACCCAGTGAGCTAGAGTGTGCGACCCTGCTTGAAAACGGCAGAGTGGTTCTGAGAAGCAGTCCCAGCCTAGGAACCCGGGGATCCGGCCTGTGGACCCACGGGCGGGGCCAGCGGGGTGCACAGGCGCTTTCGGGCGGAAGGCGGGGCCTCCCGGCCAGTGACCCCGCCCCGAGGCGCCTCCCGGGCGGGGAAGGGCGGGGCTCGCGGCGGAAAACTCCCCTTCCAAGGCGCGGCTGCGCGTCCCCAAGGCGTGGTGGTAGGGTCGTGGGACCCAGCCCAGTGGTCCAGGTCACGGGCCGCGCCGCCGCGGCCGCCATCTTGCCCGCGTCCGGGCGCCTGCGGCGGGAGGGGCGGTGTCCCGGCCGGAAGCGGCTGTGCGGCGGCCGCGCTGCCACCTCAGGTCAGTGAGTTCGACCCGGCCCGCGTCTCGGCTCTCGGGAGCGCAGCGGCCGCAGCTGGGGGCCCGAGATAGCCTAGTTGAAAGGCTCGGGCGTCTCGGCGGGGAGCGCGTTCCGCGCTGTGGGGTAATCGCGCCGGGCGGGCAGCCGGTCGGGCCTTCGCGGGAGCCACCGGGAGCTGCGGGCGGCCGCGGGACCTGCGGGGACCTCCTCGGGGCGCAGAGGCCACGCTACAGCCTTCACCGCGGCAGGCTTGTGGGGAGCTGCGTCCCCGCCTTTCCCGGGAGGCTCAGCCAGGTGCTCGGAGCGGGAGAGTCGGATTCAGATTCCTGCTTTACCTGGAATAGCAACGTGCCCTGTTGCCATTGTACCCTCTTAAATACTGTACTTCTTAAACGGCCTATCTCCCGGTGAGCTCTGTTCTCTTCACATACGAGTAATGAAAATTCCTTAAGAGGATGAATGAAACCTCACACATGTGGACTTTGCTGAATTGGTTAGCAAATGACTGCTTTTGCAGGCCTTTTGTATATTTTAAGGGAAATTTGGATATGTGCAGTGCATCTCCTCGAAGAAGCTGATGGTGGAAATTTCTTGAAACCGCTCTCGTAATTTGCCATGGTAAGAAAAGTAAAAGACAACATCAAAAAGCATGTGATTGGATACTTTGTACACTTAGTAGTATTGTAATGTGTTGGACTTCACTGTCCAGTAGCCACATGGTATTGAGATGTGCTGTAAGTGTAAAATACACATCGGATTTCCCAGAGTTGGCGCCAAAAAAAAAGTAAAAATCCTCACTAATAATTTTTGCATTGATTACATATTGAAAGGATAATGCCGTTGATATGTTGGTTAAATAAAATGTGTTTTTAAATTTAATTCCACCTATTTTTACTTTTTAAATGTGACTACTTGAAATTTTTAAATCATATGGCTCACACTGTATTTCTTTTGGACAGTGCTGTTACAGATATTCTGGTGAATAAACACAGAATGAGCATGGCTTTCCTTTGCTGATAAGTCACTGATGGGAAGTGAGACTTGTTAAACTTGAAAGGTGAGGATATAAATACAAGCTATACTTATTGCAAACCGCACCCCTTCTACACCTAATTTTTTAATGTCTCCAACATTTGGAAAAAACATTAACTTTCAGGGCTGATTAAGGGAATGGTGGTGATACTAACATCTGTGTGATGTGAAGAGCTCATTTCAGTTGATGTCACAACTTTGTGAGATGGAAATGGGATAGATTTTATCTCGGTTTATGGTTTTGGAGTATTACAAGATTTGTTAGGATTTGAACTGGGGAGTGGCTGTAGGATTTCTGACTCTATATTTTTTTTCTTTACACCAGATTCTTGGTGATGTATGTTCATGAGCAAGGAACTGTTTATCCTGTGTATCAGATGGTGAAAAAAGTACACTTCTTAAAAGGGTGGACATAGATGCACCTCTCTATACAGGGTTACTCTTATAATGTGCAGCCTGTGCAGTAGCACATAGTCCAGCATTTATAATGGCTAGCACTTGTTTTAATGGCTAGTCTGCTATCACTGTCTTGACATTTTAAATAATTTTTAAATAAGGGGCTCTTCATTTTTATTTTGCACCACGCCTTGCATATTGTGTAGCTGATCCTTTCTCTTTGCAGTAATCTAGGATGGAAGTTGAGAGACCCTGGACAAGCACCCAAACATCTGGTCTTCACTTTACTCTTATGTAAAGTGAGAAGAATTAGCTAGTCTTTTTCTCTCAAGTTTTGATTCTGTATGAATTAGTGTCATCAGCTTTTGTGGATGGCAGTATAAATATTTTAGGTGCATAACAATGGAAGAAATGCTGATGTTCTCCGTTGAGAGTCATGTGAATCAAAGTTCTAAAATTTACGCTACAACTCGTATTTTGTGTTTTGTAAGATGGATTTTTCTATGTGGCATCAAAATTGCTTAACATAGACCATTGGTATAAAGAGTAGGGTTGTGGAATGAAGGCCTAGATATAAAGTGTGTTTATTTAAACATTGATTTTTCAATGAGATGGGAAAATGGGGCAGATCTCATGATGTCTCCAATTAAGAGGTTTCCTTTGTTTGTGGTGGTATGAGTGTGAAACCTTCCTTGGCAGTATCTGTTCCTTTTCTTTGCTGTCATAGCTGCTGCCTATTACATGAGGTGCCCCTTTTCCTCCTCATTCTTAAATTTTTTAACTCTCTTTAACGTTGGGCTTAATTTTATCACTACAGTGCAAGTTTTTTTTTAGACCAGAGACTTCATCTGCTCATGTTTGCTGCTGTGTTCCCAGCTTTATGACAGTGCCTAGAACATAGAAGGTGCCCAATCGTTACAGAATAAATGAAAGTATGATAGCAGGCACTTAAATATTGGCTGGAGCCAGCCTCTCCTATGAAGGGTAGAAGTGGAAGCATGAGGAAATAGGTAAAACTTGGAGATACCAGTTGTGAGAAGTGTCAGAGGGATCATTCAGCACTTGCATTTATTTAACACATGTTTATTAAACTTCCTACTGAGTGTCTAGCACTGTACTGGGGACTAGAGGTACAGTGGAACACAAAAAAAATACTTCACCTGCTCTCATGGAGTGTATAATCCAGTAGAAGAGACAGAAATGGATGATTAAAGGGAAAGAATACTGTTTAATGACAGTGTATGTCTGAGTAACCTGACCTCGACTAGGGAGGGGATGGAGGGTGGTTGATGTCAAGGTTGAGCAGGTATTAACTTGACCCAGAAGGCAGGGAACTATGCTTTAACCAGAGGAAACATCATTTGCAAAGGTATGGTGATGGGAGAGGAGGGTATACTCTAGAAATTGAAAAGGACAGTGTAAAAGGACAGCAAGAATGTTGTGCCACAAGGCCGATGCAGTAGGCAGTGACCAAAAGCATTTAGGGTTTTGTAGGTTAGGTTGAAGATTTGGAATGCTATACTAAGAGCAGCTGGAGACCATTAGAGGGTTTTAAGCAAGGCAGGATAGCCTGGTCAAAGTTGTGTTGTAGAAAGATTTTTAATCTGATATTCTATAAAGCAGTATTTCTGAAGGGCCCAGGAGAAAGATGAATAAAAGAAAAACTGCCAGCACCGCACACCAGATATGTTGTATACCTTAATTTACTGAAATCAGTTTTCAGAGGCTTGAGACTATCCTCAGTGTGGTAGCACTTGGAAGCCTGAATGAGGAGACAAGATGATAAATAATTGGGTAAATGACTGGCAAAAGGCAAACCCAAAGTGGCAAGGAAATGAAGACATTGAGGGTGCTAGTAAGAATATAATTGAAATGATTGATCTTGGACTTGAGAAATGCTAAAGAAGGAAATAAAATCAGTATAAGACTTCCTAAATCAGCAGTCCCCAACCTTTTTGGCACCAGGGACCGGTTTCATGGAAGACAGTTTTCTCACAGACGAGGGATGGGGGTGGTTTCAGGATGATTCAAGCGCATTACATTTATTGTGCACTTTATTTCTATTTACATTGCACTATATAATGAAATAATTATACAACTCACCATAATGTAGAATCAGTGGGAGCCCTGAGCTTGTTTTCCTGCAACTAGATGGTCCCATATGGGTGTGATAGGAGACAGTGACAGATCATCAGACATTAGATTCTCACAAGGAATGCACAACCTAGATCCCTGTCATGTGCAGTTCACAATAGGGTTTGCACTGCTGTGAGAAACTAATACTGCTATTGATCTGACAGGAGGCGGAGCTCAGGCGGCAGTGTGTGAGATGAGTGGCTCTAAATAACAGATGAAGCTTTGCTCCCTTGCCTGCTGCTCACCTCCTGCTATATGGCCTGGTTCCTAACAGGCCAGGGACCAGAACTGGTCTGCGGCCCTGGGAGTTGGGGACCCGTGGTCTAAATAATATGAGTCTATTTTAGACTGGTAATTCCTAACTGAAACTTTTGCACGACTGGTAATTCCTAACTGAAACTGAAAATTATGTTGAGTTGAACTATTTAGTATATCTTTATTAGGAGTCTATGCCAGGCTGTATATATGGCACTAAGGATAGAGAGGTAAGTGAACCATAGCTTTACCCTATGTGAACTGACAACATAGTTGTACAGATACCAATTGCAATGAAGATTTTAAGTATGTTTATTCATTTTGAATCTAAACTATTACCTTTTGCCAACCTCAGAAACAGGCATTTAAATTTTTGTAGGCAACCTTAATTATTGAAACACCATTTTAAACTATAGCTATATTTAGTTTGTGTGCTTCTACTGCTAGAATATTTATTTTTTTGCAAAAATTCTACTTTAACACTTATTCAAAGTTTGTGGAACTGAAAACTGAAAGAGCCTCTAATGATCACTTAATTCACTTTCTCAAGAGTGTGGTATGTGCGTACCACTGGTCATAAACAGGATGCTTTGTAGATAAAACACAATCAAGCATTTTTAATAGTTATATATTGCAGTGTAGGTTAAAAAATATATTTAACATGGCATACCATGATTCATGGACCTTATGAAGAGATTAAAGTCAATTTTCAGATTTTAAAAATGAGTCAGTTTAAAGAAAAATATTAATGGCACAGGTGTTACATGACTGGAGTTTGGGAAATACTCATCTAAACCAACTCCTGCATTGTGTAGATGAGAAAACAAAGGGGTTCCCCACACACATTGACTTTTCTGAGGCATATAACTAATATATGGCAGAGCCAGGACTGCAACTCAGGTTTGTTCAGTACATTCCAGTGTTTATTCTGCCATACAAGGCTGATGCTTATTACTGAAAGTTGAAGAAACCTCTGTCTTAGTATGGCATTGTACTTTAAATCTCCATTGTTCATTATGATGGCCACATATGGTTATTTATATTAAAATTTGTTAAAATTAAGGTTTAAAATTAGAACTACTCACATTTCTAGTGCCCAGTAGCTACATGTGGCTAGTGGCTACCATATTGGACAGCATGAACACGGAACATTTCTGTCATTGCAGAAGATTTTATTGGGCAGTACTGCTTTAAACTATTGCTTGGGAATGTGATTCGTAATACTTTTAAGTTTTCCCCCCTTCAAAGGGATAATACTTATTAATTTGCTTACCACACTGAAGTCGTTATAACCCTGAAGTTAAGCTGAAGGTACTAGTAACAGTGCAATTAAGATAATTGATCTTGGGAAATATAGCCAGGATGGGATTCTCAGATTCCTACCAGCTCATTTTATTGGAAGTGGTTGTTATTTCTCCTTTTTTTTCAATAAATATTTTCTTGAATTCCTAGCAGATAGAAATACAAATATATTGAAAAAGAGGGTTCTTGAATAGAGAATTGTCTGACTTTCTGAATAGTTTATTCAACGTGAGAATTATATTTTGTTGATATTTTAAAACTTTTTATTTTTAAACATTTTCAGTGAATGGACCTGAGTGGACCCTTTGAGCACATCAGTAAACATGAGTGGTACCAAACCTGATATTTTGTGGGCACCACACCAGGTTGATAGATTTGTTGTGTGTGACTCAGAACTAAGTCTTTATCATGTGGAATCTACTGTGAATTCAGAACTCAAAGCTGGATCTTTACGTTTATCTGAAGACTCTGCAGCTACATTACTGTCAATAAATTCAGATACACCCTATATGAAATGTGTTGCCTGGTATCTCAATTATGATCCTGAATGTCTGCTGGCAGTTGGACAAGCAAATGGTCGAGTTGTACTTACAAGTCTTGGTCAAGATCATAACTCAAAGTTCAAAGATTTGATAGGAAAAGAGTTTGTTCCAAAACATGCACGACAATGTAATACCCTTGCCTGGAATCCACTGGATAGTAACTGGCTAGCTGCTGGTTTAGATAAGCACAGAGCTGACTTTTCAGTGCTAATATGGGATATCTGCAGCAAATATACTCCTGATATAGTTCCCATGGAAAAAGTGAAACTTTCAGCAGGTGAAACTGAAACAACATTATTAGTAACAAAACCACTTTATGAGTTAGGACAGAATGATGCTTGTCTCTCTCTTTGTTGGCTTCCACGAGACCAGAAACTTCTCCTTGCTGGTATGCATCGTAACCTAGCTATATTTGATCTTCGGAATACAAGCCAAAAGATGTTTGTAAATACAAAAGCTGTTCAGGGTGTGACGGTAGACCCATATTTCCACGATCGTGTTGCTTCCTTCTATGAAGGTCAGGTTGCAATATGGGATCTTAGAAAATTTGAGAAGCCAGTTTTGACACTGACTGAGCAACCAAAACCCTTGACAAAAGTAGCATGGTGTCCCACTAGGACTGGTCTACTTGCCACTTTAACAAGGGATAGTAATATTATTAGATTGTATGATATGCAGCATACACCCACTCCCATTGGGGATGAAACTGAACCCACAATAATTGAAAGAAGTGTGCAGCCTTGTGACAATTACATTGCTTCCTTTGCATGGCATCCAACAAGTCAAAATCGAATGATAGTTGTAACTCCCAACCGAACAATGTCTGACTTCACTGTTTTTGAAAGGATATCTCTTGCCTGGAGCCCAATTACATCTTTAATGTGGGCTTGTGGTCGTCATTTATATGAATGTACGGAAGAAGAAAATGATAATTCTTTAGAAAAAGATATAGCAACGAAGATGCGCCTTCGGGCTTTATCGAGGTATGGACTTGATACAGAGCAGGTGTGGAGGAACCACATTTTAGCTGGAAATGAAGATCCACAACTCAAGTCACTCTGGTATACTCTGCACTATATCCTTTGCATTGTGAATTTTGTGAGATGAATCAAGTAGAAATGTTCTTGAAGTTTGCTGAAAAGTCAGTCTATAAATATGCTGAATGTTTTATATACAAATTCAAGTTACATAATGTTAACATTATAAAGTAAAATTGTTCTAAACTTTTGAACTCGAAATACTGCTTTGTAGATTGTGTAGGAGGAAGAACGGTGTATCTCTGCAATAGAGTCGAACCATCTTATTTACACTGATACTTATGAATTGGCTCCAAATCAAAATAAATTTAGCTTTGAAATATTTTGTTATGCATCACTAGTATTTCCTATGCATTTAAATACTTATGAAGCAATACACAGAAGATATGGATCAGAAATCTCCAGGCAACAAAGGATCGTTGGTTTATGCAGGAATTAAATCAATTGTAAAGTCATCGTTGGGTAAGAAAATTCTATTTCATTTTCTCCAATATGTTTATAACTTTTGTACTTTTATTTTGCCCTCTATATCATTTGGCAGAAATTAGTTATTTCAGGATCGTGTACATAAATATTTTGTTGTTTTCTGGTTAGATATTTCAGTGTATTGTTGAGTTAAATGCATACTTGTATTTGTATCCAAAACCCTTTTTGCAGGGAGTCTTAATTCTCTGAAGTGATGTTGACTTTCTTAGATCTATTCACACGTTTATTCAATGTTATTTTTTTGAAAACCCACTTTGAGAGGTTTTATGCTAAACAATTTATAGGTTACTGATTGTTCAGGTTTTATCACAACATTTTGCTTCTTAAAAACTAAATTAAAAGATCACTAATTGAAGGAGACCCTTTTTCATTTTGCTCCCCAGATACTTTCATTGAGCCATCTAACAGCAAGGAGTATGATATGAAATATGGCCTAACTTGAAGGAATTATACCTGAAATAGTCCTTGGTGAATTAGTGAATGAATTAATTAATGTGTGAGTTAGTGTAGGATTGAAATTGGTATGTTAAACTATTAAGGAGTAACGTAAAAGTGGCAAAAACCAAACTTTCTTTTTTTTTCTGACTGCTTTAAACAGTTGTTCCTATTCTTTTACTGGAATTGAATAATAATGGCTTGGGGACCAGAAGTGTTTCAGATATTTTCAGATTTTGAAATATTTGCATTATATACTTAGAGATTGACCATCCCTATTCTGAAATCCAAAATGCTCCGATGAGCATTTCCTTTGAATATCATCTCAGCACTCAGAAAGTTTCAGATTTTGAAGGCTTTTGGATTTCAGTTTTCAGATTTGGGACGCTCAACCTGTATTTTTGTGACCTAGGATTTGTTCTCTAGCTTTTGCTAAGTCAAATCTGGGCCCAAGTCAAGCTGTTAGAAAAGTAGTTAATATTATTTAGTCAAAGAGCAGTAATAGAAGTAGTAAATCTAATTTTATTTTTTACACAACTTGTATCAATACCATACAAACAAAATACAAAATAATAAAATGTTTTAGAGTAGGTTAAGTGTTTTAATTAAACTGTTACATTATAGTGCTTTTTTTAAGGTCTTTCAAATTACTTTGGTTCACTTTACTGAAAGATGCAGTAAACTACTTACTGATCAGATTGATTTTATTGTTTTTGTATTAGCCCTCCACCCAAAAAAGTAACCTTTATTATAAATAGTAAAATGAATAAGTTTGGTTAGAAGCTGCTGTTTTTATTAACGTAGGTAAACGCGCACACATACTGTTTTACCCCCGCAAATGAACCTGGTACCATAGTTCATGATTTTAGAGCCATTGCCTATTGCTACAAAGAATTAAACACCACATTTATAGATTTTATAGTGTGTTAGCTATATAGTAGATTAGGCCACACTGCACTCAATTATTTAGAGGTTGATTATTGTGTTTTTTGTATTTTGATATATTTGAAGGAAAAGCCAACCTCTGAAGAAAAGCCAAAGGGGAAAATGTAATATGTTTACATTTCTGGTGCACTAGAGACAAACTGAGTATCCCACCCCTGTGTCAAAATAGTCTTTATCCAGACTAAAGGAAGACTACTGTTGGAAAGATTTCCTCATTCATCATTCTCTCATTGCTAGGTTTTCAGCTTTTTGTTTTGTTTGGTATAGATATTTTTGTTTTTACTACCCAAAGGTGAAAAGTAAAGAAATAGTGTCAAATATGCCACTCTTAGATTTCAGTCTTCTATTTGGCCATACCTTTTCCTCTAATTGTCTCTCTAATAATTCAACACACAGTAAGTCAACACATTGAGCCATCTTGTCTACAGTAACCTAATATACAAGTTTATTAGAGCACACAGCTAAATTTTGATTTTGGTAACAAATAGTATATATATAAGTGCTTGCTATGAATTAGTTGCTTTTCCCATGTTACTTTAATTTTTACAACTACAATATGAAGTAAGCTCATTCATTCAGCAAGTATTTATTACATGCTTACTATATGCCAGAAGTTATCCTAGGAACTAGAGACATAACTGTCAAGAAGATACATAAATCTCTTCCCTCATGGAGAATGAGCATCCCTGCTCTTGGGGAATTTACATTCTAGTTTAGAATACAGACAAGTAAACTGGCAGTTCTAACATAGGGAAGAACAGTTAATTACAGGAAGGACTCCTAATCTGGTTGTAGGGATTAGAGGTTTCTCAGAGGAGATACAGTCAAAGACAAGGTCCAGACAGGGAGCAGCATGTGCAGTGGACCCAGAGGGTAGAAAGCATAGCACATTATTATGGCTGGAACAGAGCATGAGAGAGGAAGTGAGGAAAGAATGGAGGCTAGAAAGGTAAGCAATGGGCTAACTCAAGAAGGACTTAGAAATCATGTTAAGAATTTAGGGAGATTCATCTTGTAAGACAGGGAAACAGATGGATTTATGACAGATTTGTGTTTTTAAAGGATCAAGATTGATAGTAGGGATATCAGATAGAAGCCTGCTGCAAGGAGGCAAGACATGATGGTATCCTTACGAAGGTTAGTAGCAGAGGTGCTAGAGAAATGTGGATACATTAGAGAATAGGACAAAATTTAATGATTAATTAGATAAAGGGGTGGAGAAGATGGAAAAGTCAAAGATAGCGCACATATATTTAGTTTGGGAAACTAGTTAATTTTAAGTATGTTAATTAGGAACACACAGGAAGAGTATTGGTTTGTTTTGGAGCAAGTTGAAATCAAGATGCTTAGGTAGAGATGTCCATTGGGCAATAGGATATGAGTTCAAAGCGCAGGGGAAGAATATAATGTATGTTAGAAATAAATTATATTTGGTAGAGTAGATGGAATTGTTTGGAGTAAGAAAGAGGTGGCTTAAGAAGACTGAGGAGGATTGTTGAGAGTTGTAGGAGAAAGATCTATATGGCAAAAACCACAATCACTTTTGCACCAACTTAATATATATTCATGTGGACGAGGGAAGAGAGATCAGTTGTCCAGTGCTCCATGCTTCAGATCCAGCCAAATAAGAACTAAAAAGGACTCACTGAATTTAGGACTAGGAGAAGGTCTTTCACAGGCGGTATGGATAGCAAATTGCAGTTAGATTAGAAATTCAGAGTGGGTTGAGGAAATGAAGTCATCAATTATAAATACTTTTTTTCAAGGAATTTGACTACATAAAGGAGGACAAAAAGATATTCAGTAGGAGGAGACAAATCTGGAGCCGGGAGCTTTGTGTTGCTTTCTTTTTGTTTTCAACATGGGATTAATTTAAGCATGTTTAAATGCTAATTGGAGGAAGCCCATAGAAAGAGGTTAAAGATGCAGAGAGAAGGGAATGAAGCAAAGTTCCTAGAAATGGGAGAGAATGGGATCCAGAGCACAGTTTGTTTAGATACAAAGGTGCACACCTCCACATTTGCCAGAGGAAAGGGGAAAAGGATGCCGTATGCAGGATGTTTAAGGTTCAATAACTAGAGGCTGAGGGATTTCCCATTTTATGGCTCCTGCTGAGAAGGAGCAGGGAGGTTGGAGGAGGAGGATATGGAGAAGAGGAGAGAGAGCTGTCTTGAGAAACATGGGAGGATTACTGGGTAACATTGTTTTACCAGAAGGTAGAATAAAGGACAGTAGGGTGAGATAATTAAATATATTGGCAAGAGAGTGATTCACTTGACCCTTGGGATCTTATTTGGATAGAGATGAAAATGAATACAGGATAAGACTGATAAGTAAAAATAATGGTGGTGAAGATACTGTGAGGTTGTGAAGAATATAAGGAAGTGAGATTTTTGGAAGGCTACGTGGTTGTGGTTAGAAAGTAGGTCTTTTGGAGGAGGACAGTTTCGAGTGTGGCTGTGAAAGAAGTAGCTTAAGTCTTAGAGGTGTAGACCACTGGAGATAAGGAAGCAAAGGAACTGAGAAGCTAGTTTATTGAATGGGCTAAGTGTTGAAATCAACCAGGATGAGAAGAATGCATGCTCTGAGGGAATCTCTTCTACAGACCTGTATAGCAAGTTCACAGTGTTATTAGTAGGTATAATTCCTTCCTTTTAAGATGGCAGAAAGTTGTATAAAAAATATTGGCCTGCTTTTCATCCATCATGAAAAGAATATTTTTTATGCTTAAAGAATAAACTCTACAGTTCCAGCTACTCAGGAGGCTAAGATAGGAGGATCGCTTGAGCCCAGGAGTTTGAAACCAGTCTGGGCTACGTAGAGACCCTGTCTATCTTTTTTTGTTTAAAAAAAAAAAAAAAAAAAAAAAATCTAATCTAGAGAACTGAGAATTTGTCTATGCAAAATGACTACAAGGGGCAAAATAGCTAGGATTTCTTATAAACTGGATAATTGTATTGCTTGGTTATTACATAGATATTAAAATGAAACAGTAGCTACAAAGAGCATAGTGTTTGATTGCTGATTTGAAAGAAACGTTAAATCCTAATTTTTTTTCTTTTTTTTTTTTTTGGAGACAGAGTCTCTGTCACCCAGGCTGGAGTGCAGTGACACAATCTCAGCTCACTGCAACTTCCACCTCCTGGGTTCAAGTGATTATCGTGCCTCAGCCTCCTGAGTAGCTGGGATTACAGGTGCATGCCATTACACCTGGCTAATTTTTGTATTTTTTGTAGACACAGGGTTTTGCCACATTGGCCAGGCTGGTCTCAAACTCCTAACCTCAAGTGATCTGCCTGCCTGGGGCTCCCAAAGTGCTGGGATTACAGGCGTGAGCAATCGTGCGTGGCCAAAATCCTGATTTTTAATGTTTAAATAAACTTGTTTTCCTTGCAGCCATCAATAAAACGTTTTCTATTATTTATATATAGGACAGTCTTAAATTTAGGAAATACAATTTTGTTATTTTAGTGTTACATAACATGCATAAATATATTTTACTTTGTTTTTAGAGATATATTAAAAATGTATGTATATGTTAAACTTGTAAGTCAAAACCCATTCTGACATCATATTGCTTATTTGATAATTCTAATAATCACCTGTAGCATAGTTATCAATAAAAAGGTCTCTAAGCAGAAAAAATACATGATACAATAACCGTGTTCTTAACATGCGGGATATATTAATATTTCCACCTCCTAACAGTGACCTCTTTGAATTCATATTCAGTCATCCACTGCATAATGACGTTTCTGTTAACAGTCAACTGCATATATGATGGTGGCCCCAAAAGATTTAATACTGTATTTTAACTTTACCTTTTCTGTGTTTAGGTACTCAAATACTTACTATTGTGTTACAGTTGCCTGCAGTATTCAGTACGGTAACTTGCTGTAAAGCAGAGGCATCCAATCTTGTCCTCCCTGGGCCACAATGGAAGAATTGTCTTGGGCCACGCATAAAATACACTAACGACAGCTGATGAGCTAAAAAATAAAAAAGTTTTTTAAAAATCCCCCCAAAATCCCATAATGTTTTAAGAAAGTTTAGAAATTTGTGTTGGGTCGCATTCAAAGCTGTCCTGGACTGTGAGTTACACAAGTTTGCTTTATAGCCTAGGAGCAGTAGGCCCATGTAGCCCAGGTGTGTAGTAGGCTATACCATCTAGGTTTGTGTAAGTACACTGTGATGTTCACACAACAACGAAATTGCCTGACAATGCATTTCTCAGAAGGTATCCCTACTGTTAATCAACTTGTGACTGTATTGTTGTCTATTCTGTTCCATGACGTGATTTCTATAAAATAAAAACTCTTAAGAAATTAGAATATTATGTTAAGCTGTAGGTAATCGTTTGAAAAATAAATTGCTGATATTTGTTCACCCGTTTTAAAATTGTGTTATCACTAAATACCAGCTTTAAATCCAAAATTTATAGGAGAGATATGAAAATAAACACCTTATAATATATCTCAGCCTCTACCTGAAATTAAATGACTGCATTCTGCCCTGACAATTTAAATTTGTTATTCAGAATGAAAGTTTTAATTTTTTAAATGTGTTTTATTAATTTTATCATTAATCGTTAGAAGTTTTCACATTATAGTTCTTAAAAATCCACTTTCATAAGCTAAAAGTGATTTTGTCTTTAGGCTGACTCCCCTCATGGTCGCAAATAAAGTAGCATGCTGCTTCTTTTTAGTGGGTAGGAAGTGCTGTTAAAGCAAGAGAACTTTTTGAAAGTTTCCTCTTAACTCTTTGACCTGAATTGGCCATAGTTTCCAGTAGTCAGGTTAAAAATAAGTAACTTCAAGTGGAATTATTTAACTATTTTTTGAAGTTCCAAAATTTTACAAAGAAGACATCTTGAAACGTTTTCATAAAGCAGTCGGATATAATATAAAATGTATACTAACATGCATAATATTTTAGACTTGCCACAACCTAAAATCAGATAATCACACAAGGTTTTTAAAAGTATGAATTAGGTATAAAAGAGAGTTTAGACCTTTGACTATATACTGTTTTACCTTTTTTTTTTTTTTTGAAAGAGACAGAGTCTTACTCTGTCACGCAGGCTGGTGCGATCTTGGCTCACTGCAACCTCGGCCTCCCGGGTTCTAGCGATTCTCCTGCCACAGCCTCCCAAGTAGCTGGGACTACAGGTGCATACCACTACACCCGGCTAATTTTTGTATTTATAGTAGAGACCAGGTTTCGCTATGTTGGCGAGGCTGGTCTCGAACTCCCGACCTCAAGTGATCTGCCTGCCTCAAGTTCCCAAAGTGCTGGGATTACAGGCATGAGCCACGGTGCCCAGCCTAAAATTTTTCTTAAAAATCATTTAGTCTGAATACTTGGAAAGAGTAAAAATAGGCCAGGCACGGTGGCTCATGCCTGTAATCCCAGCACTTTGGGAGGCCAAGGTGGGCGGATCACCTGAGGTTGGGAATTTGAGACCAGCCTGAATAACATGGCAAAACCCAGTCTCTACTAAAAATACAAAAATTAGCCGGGCGTGGTGATGTGCACCTGTTGTCCCAGCTACTTGGGAGGCTGAGGCAGGAGAATCACTTGAACCTGGGAGGCAGAGGTTGCAGTGAGCTGAGATCGCGACATTGCACTCCAGCCTGGGTGACAGAGCAAGACTCCGTGTCAAAAAAAAGAAAAATTTCTATATGTAATTTAACTTGCAACTGACAAGTTTTTAATATTTTCTTATTTTTGCTTGTGTTTGTTTATACCTTTAAATTCTTGACCAGAATGACTATAGTTAAATTAACTTTGGATAGTGTATTTTCATTCATTTACTATCTCATCATTTCCATGGGTCAGGAGTCTGGGCACACCTTAGCTGGGTTCTCTGTTCAGAGTCTCAGAAAGGCTAAGCAGAAGGTATCAGCCAAATTGTATTTCTTTCTAGAAGTCAGAGTGCTCTTCCAAGTTCATGGAGTTGTTGGTGGCAGAATTCAGTTCCTTGCATCTATAGGACTGAGATAACCATTTTCTTGCTGGCTAATGGCCAGGGGCTGCTCTCAGCTCCTTAGATGCTATTTGCAGTTCCTTGCCACATGGCCTTCTCACAGACCCTCTCACAGCACAGCAGCTTTTACGTCTTCAAGACCAGCAGATCTGTCTCCTGCTGCTTCTCTCTTACCTCTAGACTGTCTTTCAAAGGACTTACTTGATTAATCAGGTCAGGCCCACACAGGATAATCGTCCCTTGATTCACTCAGTGAGCTGAGTAAGGGCCTTAATTGTATCTGCAAAATGCTTTCACCTCTGCTATATTCTGTTATCTGGAGACAAGTTACAGATTCTTCCTGTATGCAAGGGGAGGGGTTTGTTTACACAAGAGTGTGGTTGGGTGGGGGGGCAGGAATGCAGCCCTTCTTAACAGTTCTGCCTACAACCAACAAGTTTAATGAGGAATTCTAGCAACTATCTGTTGTTGATCTAGTTATGTACAAATGTATAATTGCAGTATTAGATATAAATATATAAATGTATAATTACTGTAAATTAAAAATGTAAATTACTACAAAAAAAAAAGTTGGTAATGTTGGACATTCATGTTGCCTAATTCATAATTTAGTTAATTCTGAAAAATTCTTTTTGTTAAAAAACATAATTATGTAATGACAATTTTGGTGATAAAATTTTCTAGAACGTTTAAGAATTTATTATAGTTTTTAAGTGTCATCTTTATTCATTTTGACTTTATTTGGCATTAAGTATCATCCTAAGTGAAATTACCTTGTCATTAGGATCAACTGCCTTGATTGCAATGTAAATAATGCTACAAGAAGGCAAGGGTTTTTTCTGAAAAAAGAATGAGAAATGAAGTTTTCTGATTTAGTAAGGGGAAAAATAGCCTTCGAGTTAGTCCCATTGTGTTTTAAAGTTATTACTTACCTTAAACTTTCAAAGTACTTTGAAGTCTGTAATCTTGTTTTTTAATGTACAAAGAGAGAAGGAAGAAAGCAAGAGCACTTTTACTGGATTTCAGACAGTAGGGATACCTTGTGAATAAAACAGACAAGACACCTGCCCTTTTGGAGCTTATGTGCTAGTGGGAGAAGAGATTAAGACTGAAAACTAAATTAACTAAATGGGAGCACATGTTAAGTGCTAAAGGAAATAGAGGAAACAATGGGTGGTGAGTTAGATAATAACAGGTATATCTATGTCAGATTAACTGGCCAGGCAGCTTTCTCTGAAGCAGTAACTCAGTTTAGTCCATATGAGCATTTGCTCTTATTTCAGTAGTTCTTTGGTAACTCAAGGAGCTATTGTACTTAGAAACATGCAAAATATGTTTTATTTGTGGCATATTTTGTATTTACACTATCATAAAATTATAGCCAAGAAGTTAAATATTCTAAATGTGTCAATATGGTTCTCTATAAAACTGACTTATTTTCCAAATATATTTTGAAATAAAACAATATAAAAATGTTTTGTGTTTTTAGGAATGGTGGAAAGCAGCAGACATAATTGGAGTGGATTGGATAAGCAAAGTGATATTCAAAATTTAAATGAAGAGAGAATCTTAGCTTTACAGCTTTGTGGGTGGATAAAGAAAGGAACGGATGTAGATGTGGGGCCATTTTTGAACTCCCTTGTACAAGAAGGGGAATGGGAGAGAGCTGCTGCTGTGGCATTGTTCAACTTGGATATTCGCCGAGCAATCCAAATCCTGAATGAAGGGGCGTCTTCCGAAAAAGGTATTAGGTTATAAACTGAGATATTAGTTATAATCTAAGATGTTAGCAGTTCATAGAGTCTTTTAAAGAAAAGAGGCTAATACTTTTCAAGCATCTAATCACTTAAAATTTTCATTTAATTTTTGTTGGAAGAGAAAATTAGCACAGTAGTATATCTATAACAGTAAATACTTAACTCACCTCTTCTGCCTTGGTTTAGGTCTGTAAAAACAAAGATGTGTCTTAAATGTCAGTATAATATTATAAGGAGTGCTCAAGTGTGTCCATTTTCAATGTTTTCTCTTTTAAAGATAGTTCACATACATTTTTAAAAATATATCTTCTTAAAGATTAGGACTTCTTTAGCCTACAAGTATTTTTATGATCCATATTTGAGTGTGTTCTAGTTTATACTTTGTTTTGGATGGTTATTGTTTGACCTTTAAGAAACTCTGAATGACACTTTTATTTAGGCTAATGCAAATTCTTAAAAAACATACTTTGATCTTCAAAAATGCTTCTTGAGTCTGGTGATTAAAATATAGTTTTCATTTAGTGTTTTTTAAAAAGAAAGAAACAAGATAAGGTTTTTTTACTCTGGCATTTTGCCAGAGGATCCTCAGAAAAACAAATCCTAATCCAAAACCTCAGGGTTTTTTTTCTTATCAGGAATATTTCACTTGGAAATAACTAAAATATATATAGCTATTGGTCTTTAGTACACCTAAAAATCATTTCTGAATATTCAGAATACTGAATCCTTACTTGCTGGTCCATTTTGAAACCTTTATGGTTCAGCTGTAGCATAGAGAAAAACATGAAATTCACTGTAATATATTTTTTTGCAGTCTAAAAGTTAAAAAAGTTAATGTTTTGCTCAGATTGGCATGTTTTCTTTCACCTTTGCTCTAACAAAAGTCTTCCTCATTTAAGACGGCAATAGAAAATATGTGATGATGGAAAAAAGAATTGGTATTTAAAGCCATTACTCATTATAATTTTGCTATAACTTGAAAGGGTGATAACTTTCCTTATCTTGTGTACCTGGGAAATTTCTTAGTCGATTTAAACACCCATACTAACAATAGGGAAATTGTATCTTTCCAGTGATTTTAAGGACTGAAGAGAAGACTTCTGTGAGTCAAACATTCTTTTCCATTTAGAAGTAAATTGTTCTATACAAAATCTAAAGATACTTCTTTGCTATTTTTATTTTTTATTTAAAAGACCTTAAATCTAATGTATTAGGCAAAGGAAGCAAGCACAAAGTAACTTGGGAAAATGTTTATAGAAATGAGAGAAATGAGGAATATAAAGCTGTAAAGAACATAAAGTGGGAAACACTGCTTTATTTGGAAAAGAAAGAAAAAGATTAGAATCAAGAAATAGAATAAGAAAACTTATATAATAAGTGTAGAAAATACTTAAGAGTGAAAGTTAAAGGAAAATTTAGTTTTCTCTTTTGAAACTGAACTTAGGTTAGAAGACCAGGCAGCCATACTGCTGAAGGCAAAGTTAGCAGCTTATCAACATGCATCTAAACTGTTAAGAACAAATGTTTAAAAGACTATTGGTAACAAATGCTTTGTTGCAAATGGCTGTTAATGCAGTTCTGTGGTAATTCTTTTAGTTTATTTTGTCCTGGAAAAATTGTAAGTGTAATACTGTAATTGAAGTGTTGAAATATTACTTTCTGCACTTTGCATTGACACTTATATATGTAAGTATCTGCATTACATATTTAGGAATAGGAAAATAAAATGATTTTGAGTATTGCAGTCTTGAGATGCAATAATATTCACTATAAGTGTTTTTGAAATACTTTTGCATTAATAAACTTGTTAAAGTTGACAGTGATTCTGGTAGGATGACTTAACTTTTCTTCATTTAGCAAGCAATAGCATACATATATGGGAACATATACAGGAATAACATATATAAGACCCTGCCTGGAATGAGAACTTGAAAATTAAAAGATCTGCTTTCCTGCATAGAGTTTGCACATGTGGGCATGAGTTTTATAAGGATAGAAATGTTGTGCTTATTGTCTTTGCCAAAGTTTCCAGTCTGAATCAAAACCGAAAACCTTTTTGTTTTGTTTTGTTCTGTTTTTTTAGGGTAAGGTGCAAGTTTATTAATAAAGTAAAGGAATAAAATAATGGCTACTTCATAGGCAGAGCAGCCCAAAACCCTTATTCTATGAGCTCAGTTTTCTGAGGGTAAAAGTCACCCTCTGGTTTCTATTTATGGTTTAAGAAATGTAGAAGAGATAGTAAGCTTTTGATCACTTTGATTAGCTGGCTGTTTTTAATATGCAGGAGATCTGAATCTCAATGTGGTAGCAATGGCTTTATCGGGTTATACGGATGAGAAGAACTCCCTTTGGAGAGAAATGTGTAGCACACTGCGATTACAGCTAAACAACCCTTATTTGTGTGTCATGTTTGCATTTCTGACAAGTGAAACAGGATCTTATGATGGAGTTTTGGTAAGCTAACTTGTTCTTTGAGATCTTCCTTTGGATTAAGATAGGAGTTTTTATCTAACTGTTAAAATTTTCAAATGTCTGTTGCATAAAATACTATATTTTGATGCATACGTTATTTAAAATAAGGCATCTTGGGCTTTGTTTTTTGAGCAACTCTTCTTGAATGTGATTCCCATCCTGGAGTTAGTTAATTGATATCCAACTGGATTTGATTTTTATGGTTTTAATAATATAATTTACAGATATAGAAGGAATATTTTATCCTTTAGCTTAAGAACTGAGCTGTAGAAATCTACAGCTATGTAAACATAAAAATATATTCGCTATTTAAATACACTGTGCACACATGCACATGTGCATGTGTGTGTGTTTAGTTAAGTAAAACAACTCATGATTATTGATCAGTTATGGTAGAGGTGGCCATACATCTTGTCTCAGTCTTTGTGGTTCCTGTTGGGAATGATAACAGTACTTACAGTGGACTATTTCAGCTTTTTATTTGGTCTTTGTGTTATTCTTTTTCTCCTCTGTTTTAGCCACCTGGGATCATAACACTATCAAATAGGTTCTTTATCACAGAATGGGGAAAGAAAGAATGAAGTGAGATTTGCTTATCAGTTTTAGCTGTTGGGTTTTAAGCTAAACAATAGTACTACCATTTTCTTTGCACTACTTGGCTTCTTTCTAACAATGGGAAGAGCTTTCTACACTGAAATTCATTTCTGTGTCTGCTACTATACCATTTCTTATCAATTATACATTGCTTGGATACGTGATTTAAGTATTAGTCCCTAAGAATTTGTAAAAATAAGTATTTTATTTGAGCAGATTAATGAAATGTTTAATAAATGTATTTTGCACTTTATTTTATTACTTTTAATAAATTACTATTGAACTTTTCTGACCACTTCAAAATAATATATATAATGTTAAGACTGTTTATTTTTTAACTGTAATCTTTTTTGTTAAACAAGACTTTAAATGTATCTTGAAGAGATAAAATAATACTTTCAGGAAGTGTTAGAGAATGATAGAGACTAGATAAACGAGTGGATTGTTAACTTTTGAATTGATAAAGATGTATATTGTTTAAATATTAAATTCCTGTATTTTGAGTGACCCATAATAAGTACTTTTCTTTTCCTTTTTTTTCTTTTTTTCCTTTTTTTTTTGTTGTTGTTGTTGAGACAGAGTCTTGCTCTGTACCCACACTGGAGTGCAGTGGCGCAATATCAGCTCACTGCAACCTCCACCTCCTGGGTTTAAGTGATTCTCGTGCCTCAGCCTCCCAGGTAGCTGAGACTGCAGGCCTGTGCCACCATGCTGGCTAATTTTTGTATTTTTAGTAGAGACGGGGCTTCATCATGTTGGCCAGAAATATCAATTCTGGTCTCGAACTCCTGATCTTGAATGATCCACCTGCTTTGGCCTCCCAAAGTGCTAGAGTTCCAGGTCTGAGCCACCACGCCCAGCCCCAGTATCCTTCTTTTCTTATACATAAATTTGAGTTATTAGATAACAGTCATCTTGAGTAAGAAGTTCATATTTCCAAGCTGTTTCATTTATGTATTTAGTTATGCTTTATATATAAAATAATTAATGTTGCTCTATTAAGAAAATGTTAATAGTAAGAATGTGAAAAGTACTGAATTGGGAAGTCAGAAAATACAGGCCTGACTCTTTGCTCTGCCCCATTTACCTTAGCCATTCAGTTAACTTTTTTGAGTATTACTTTCCTGAGATGTAAAATGGGACAGAATAATGTTTATAACCCTTTCTAGATCAAAATTTTGTAACATATGCAACTGAATCTAAGAGTTAAATCTAGTTATATGACATATGTTCTCTCTTTAGGGCAAAACCATATTTTATCATAGAAAAAGTATGCTAAGATAGATATCAACTGAAGTGATTTTACGGTTAAAAAAGTAAAATTTTCATAGGATGACTTCAATGGAAATTGGATCTTTTTTCCACCCTTAAATTATTTTTACAAATCACAAAATTAATTGTACCTTCCTACATTTGTAGTAAATATATTTCAAAAGTGCTTCATGATATTGACAAGTTTACAAAAATTTTAGTTATAATGCCTCTGAAATCTTTGCCACAAACCACCTATATAACAGCTTTAGCCACAAGAGTGTGTCTGTTTATGTTTTAAAACTTGTCACTTTGTAGTTGGAAACGTATATTGGTATTCTTCTAAATTGTGTACTGGTGTAGCCAATTCACAAATTTCTTAGACTTACTGATTAACTTAGTAGCCAAGGAAAGAGTTCCTTAGTTCTCTAAAATTAATTTCTATGATGGAAAGATTATGTGGCATCTTAAATTTGATAGACTGTACATCATTGCTTGTCTTTTATATTGGAGTTATATAAGACTCACCTGGATTTTTAAAAACTGAATTTGGCCAGTGTTTAAAAGGTAAATTTTTACTTTGCAAGGACAAAACCTTATTGCTGAATTCCCGGAGAGTTACATCAGGAAAGGCATCTCAGGCAATTAATGGCTCTGCAAGATAAATATAACTTGCTAATAAATTTGCAAATAAACGTATTCATTTTACTTATATAAAACATTTAGTCTCTGCAAAAATTTAAAACTCACTGCACCTAGGAGTAACTCCTTGCTTTTTCTCTTCTTTCCAGTATGAAAACAAAGTTGCAGTACGTGACAGAGTGGCATTTGCTTGTAAATTCCTTAGTGATACTCAGGTGAAAACTGATTTAATTCCACATTTGAAGTAATTAATATATACTGTCACAATTATTGTAAGAAATTAGTCTTTATAATTATATATGTATGAGATTGATAAGTAAATTCTTCTAAAAAGTATGGTAAGAATATATTAGATCAAAATACTTTGAAAATGTCTACTGTAACTAAATTAATTTGTTTAGAATACTGACTTAATATTTTAGTATATTTCTTCTTTGGAGGGTAAGATTAGTTAGTAGGTAAAGATGTTAAACTCACCTCTTAGTGATGCTGTGAAAGGGTTCCTCATTTTTAATACATTAAACAATGCTAAATGCCTATTGTGTATATAGTGAGGGGAAAATGCATGTAAACAACTAGTAATACTATATGCTGAGTACTATAGTAATGAAAAATGCTGGGGGAATATGGAGGAATCTTGGCAAGAGTTTGGGGTGGGTTGAAGTCAGGGAAGACCTAAAGGAGGTTATTCTTGGTCTTAAAGTTCCCTTGCAACTCAGATTTTGTGATTCTGTTACATACTACTATGATAGACAGCAAAAACTTTGCAGAACAATGAGGACAATTCTCTTTAAAATAATAAACCATCTGTAGTTCTTTTATGGATTAATTATCAACATAGTAAATGCCTTTTTAAAATATTTTAAATGATTATGGATACTGCTTTGAAATTTGTAATAGATGCAGACTCCTTAGTTACATATTTATAGTAAAGTCTTCTGTTTTAAAATGTTTTCCATTAGGAATGAAATTGTTCAAAATGTAGTAGTTTTGAAGTACAAAATACATAGTGAAACAGATTGCTTTAGAAAAATCACTTTAACTTTTCCAGTTAAATAGATACATCGAAAAATTGACCAATGAAATGAAAGAGGCTGGAAATTTGGAAGGAATTTTGCTTACAGGCCTTACTAAAGATGGAGTGGACTTAATGGAGAGTTATGTTGATAGAACTGGAGATGTTCAAACAGCAAGTTACTGCATGTTACAGGTCAGTGCAGTTTGACAGCAGCTTTTAAAAAAGTAACAATATTCTATATTTTCTTTCCTCAGTTGAAAGTAAATATGTACTTTTGCTTGCTTAGGATCTTTAGAAGGCATTTAGTTTTCACCTGATCAGTTGATCTGCTGAAGACTTGTGCCTTATCTTACTGTCCCTAAGCCTCTTCATTGAGTTATCCAGTTTTTCCTTTCAGTCTGAGAAGGGCCAGTCTTGACTGCATCTGAATTTATGTAAAGCGCAAATGGAGTAGAGAAACCTCTCTTCAGTTTCTCCAATTGTTGACATAACTGTATCTTCTACAAGAAAGATTGCCTTTTCCTGATCTGAACTATAGTCTTACTTGAAGTGCCGAAGTCTAGTTATACCACAGCTCTCGGCTTTCATTTTCTCTTTTTATTATCAGTGGGGGTGATTTGGAGTAACCAATTTATGTATATTTTCTCAGTTTTTGCTGTCCAGTGACTGAAAACAGATTCCAGGCATAGGTTGCTGTCTACTTTACTTTTGCTGGAAATATGGTAAAATTTAGAGTATTCTCCTGAGATTTCCCGTAGCCCTCCAGCTGATCTTATCCCATGGTGTTGGTACCTTCCTCTTTCCTGCCCTCATCCTCCTATCACAGTATGGTAGCACACCGTGTTCTGAGTAAACACAGGAAAATGCCCCCTCTCCCATTCACCTTCTTGTGCATATGTAGAGATACTAGCCCACAGACCACAAAGTAAACTTACCTAGTGTATGAAGCCACTGCCCATGGAAGAAAAAGTACCATTCTATAACATTTTTTCTTGCTGAAATAAAATTATGTCATTTAAATTAAACTGTATATATATGGCTACAGATGGCTACAGAGTGCAAATGGGTTAGTAACTTCTTAGGGAGGTTTATAAAATATATTTAAAATGCAGACAATACAGATCTTGCTTTTTTAAAATTCAGTCTGATAATCACTGCCTTTAATTGGAGTGTTTCCTTACATTTATATGGTCATGGTTAAGTCTACCATCTTGCTATTTGTTTTCCATTTTGTTTTTCCTTTTTCCTTTTGTTCCTATGTTCCTTTCCTACCTTATTTTGGGTTAATATTTCCATGTTTCATTTTATTGCCTCTATTGGCTTTTTAACTATATCTCTTTTCATTATCTTTTTTAAAAGATGTTGCTGTAGATCTAACAATGTGCATTCTCAACTCATCAAAGTCAACATTTTACCCCCTCGTGCTTCACATTTCTCACCCGACACATCATGCTTTCTTTCTACTTTACCCTTTCTTATGTCACTCTGATACTTTCCAGGTTTTACTTCATGCTTCACAAATGTCACAACAGTGTGACTTCATTTATACATCCATTCCTTTGTCCTGTTGTCATATATTTTACTTTTACAGATATTATATACTCTAACTTACAGTGTTTTTTTTTTAACAGTTATTTATGTAAATTATGAAAAGAAATCATGGGCTTTTATGTTTATTCACTTATTTATCATTCCTGGCATTCTTTTTCCTTTCTGTAAATCCTATAGCATTTCTTGTGTTATAGGTGACAAGATTCTCTCAAATTTTAACTGAAAACGTCTATTTCACCCTTACTTTTTCTTTTAACACTTTAAAGATGTCGTTTCACTCTCTTCTGGCCTCTGTTGTTTCTGATGAGAATCAGCTATATTTATACTTGTTTCCCTGTCTGTGATGTTTCATTTTTTGTTGGGTTTCTTTTCTTTCTTTCTTTTTTTTTTTTTTTTTTTTTTTTTGAGACAGGGTCTCACCGTATCACTCAGGCTGGGGTGGATTTCAGCTTATTGCAGCCTCCTGGCTCAAGCAGTTCTCCCACCTCAGCCTCCCAAGGAGCTGGACCACAGGTTCACGCCACCACTTCTGGCTAATTTTTTGTATTTTTGACAGAAATGGGGTTTCACCATGTTGCCCAGGCTGGTCTCAAACTCCTGACCTCAAGCAGTCTGCCCACCTCGGCCTCTGAAAGTGTTAGTATTACAGGCATGAGCCACCATGCCCAGCCTAAATTCTGATTTTTAATGTTTAAGTAAATTTGTTTTCCTTGCAACCATCAATAAAATGTTTTCTATTATTTATATATAGGACAATCTTTTGGGGTTTCCTCCAAGATTTTTCCTTTACCTTTGATTTTTCAGTAGTATGACCTTAATGTGCCTGGTTGTGGTTCATTTTATCCTGCTTGTGGTTCGCTGAGCTTCTTGGATCTGCAAGTCTGTTTTTCATCAGACTTGGGAAGTTTGGGGATATTCTTTCTTTAAATATTTTTTTCTGCCTCAATCTTACTCTATTTTTCTTCTAGGATTCTTAATACATATGTATTAAACCACTGCATAGTGTTCATAGGTGCCTAGGGCTCTATTCTTTTTCCTTCCATGTTTTTTTTCCCACTATTCTTCAAATTGGTTAATTTTTTTGTTTGTTTGTTTTTTGTTTTAAGACAGAGTCTCGCTGTGTCACGCAAGCAGGAGTGCAGTGGCACAATCTTGGCTCACTGCAACCTCCACCTCCTAGGTTCAAGCATTCAAGTGATTCTCATGCCTCAGCCTCCCGAGTAGCTGGGATTACAGGCATGTGCCACCACACCTGGCTAAGTTTTTGGTTTTTTAGTAGAGACATGGTTTCACTATGTTGGCCATGCTGGTCTTAAAGGCCATCCTCAAGTGATCTGCCCGCCGTGGCCTCCCAAAGTGCTGGGATTACAGGCGTGAGCCACCGTGCCCGGCCCAGATTTGTTGATTTCTGTTGACTTATGGACTCTTCCATCATCTCCATTTGCTGTTAAACTTCCCAGGGAATTGTTTATTTCAGTTATTGTGCTTTTCAGTTTCAGAATCTTAACTTTGTTATAGTTTACATCAGCAGTCCCCAAACTTTTTGCACTAGGGACTTTATAGCACCAGGGGGTTGGTTTAGGGATGATTCCAGCACATTGTATTTATTGTGCAGTTTATTTCTATTATTATTACACGTAATGAAATAATTCTAGAACTCACCATAATGTAGAATGAGTGGGAGCCCTGAGGTTATTTTCCTGCAACTAGATGGTCCCATCTGGGGATGATGTGAGACACTGAGAGATCATCAGGCATTTAGATTCTCATAAGGAGTATGCAGCCTAGATCCCTCACATGTGCAGTTCACAGTAGGGTTCTCTCTCCTATGAGAATCTATTGCCGCCACTGCAGAGCTCAGGCAGTAATGTGAGGGATGGGGAGCAGCCGTAAATACAGATGAAGCTTTGATCATTGCCCTGCCACTCACCTCCTGCTGTGTGACCCAGTTTGTACCAGGCTACGGACCTGGGGGTATATTGGGGGTTGGAGCCCCCTGGTTTACACTTCTCCGTTCAGATTCCTTATCTCTTTACTAATCAAAACACTATTTTCCAAAGCCCTTCTAATTTGGTCAGACTCAACCTCTGAACTGTTTTTTTTTTTTTTTCCAGACAGAGTCTCACTCTGTTGCCCAGGCTGGAGTGCAGTGGTGCAGTCTGGGCTCACTGTAAGCTCTGCCTCCTGGGTTCACACCATTCTCCTGCCTCAGCCTCCCGAGTAGCTGGGACTACAGGCACCCACCACCAGCTTGGCTAATTTTTGTATTTTTAGTAGAGACAGGGTTTTACCTTGTTAGCCAGGATGGTCTCGATCTTCTGACCTTGCGATCTGCCTGTCTTGGCCTCCCGAGGTGCTGGAATTACAGGCATGAGCCACCACGCCCGGCCTGAACTGTTTTCTTTACAGATCATGTTGTGGTTTTCTTTACAGATCATGTTTAGGCTTTACTGGAGAGGATCTAGAGAAGACTTACTGTATATGTATTGACCAAATTCTTTCTTAGTTTATCTCCTTCCTGCCATATAAGGGGAAAGAATGAGATATGAAAACATCTTATTTTTCTGTGAATTTTCTTTTTAAACCAGGGATTATATGCTACTTTGGTACTTAGTTCCGCCTAGTCGGTCATAATTAGGGCTAGAGTAGACCTCTACTTTTTTAAGAAATGAAATTGTAAGCTATGTGTTTTACTTGTTCTTTTAGCTAAATTTAACTCTGGTAATTAACACCGAATTTAATAGATGAAAGATATGTTGCTTCAGTTTTTGATTGGATGTCTAAAGATTATATTAGCTGTTATGATATTTGTTCTTTTTTTTATAAGTAAGATATATACCAGGTTCTCTCTGAAATTGTATTTTCTATTGGCCCTCGAGTAGGACTGAGAAAACTGACCTTCAGATTGATGCCAAAGCATCGTTGGAAGTAGAGACTTTCTCTCCTTTCTGCATTATGTAAAGTTAAGGAAGATATCCTGAACAGGGCTGAAAGTCTTCTAAGAAAACCTAAAGTGGCCGGGCACGGTGGCTCATGCCTGTAATCCTAGCACTTTGGGAGGCCGAGGCAGGCAGATTACCTGAGGTCAGAAGTTCAAGACCAGCCTGGCCAACATGGTGAAACCCCGTCTCTACTAAAACTACAAAAATTAGCCGGGCATGGTGGCACATCCCTGTAATCCCAGCTACTCGGGAGGCTGAGGCAGGAGAAATGCTTGAGCCCGGGAGGCAGAGGTTGCAGTGAGCCGAGATCGTGCCACTGCACTCCAGCCTGGCCAACAGAGTGAGACTCTGTCTCCAAAAAAAAGAAGAAAAGAAAAGAAAACCTAAAGCAAGCATAGATGAAATGTGGAATGTCACAGCTGCCAGGGAAAATACAACTTTAGGAAAATTCTTACTGGCAAGAACTTGAAGTTCTTAATGAGAAGAACACTAAAGTAAATTTAACTAAAACAAGGTGTTGCTTTTAACTGTGGCTAGGGGCAAAAGAACTAAGAAGATATTTGGTTTGGTTTTGCTTTTTCTTGTTGTTTTATTATTTTTAAGGCAAGAAATGTATGTTTTAATTGAAGGCAAGAGTAAGAATAGACGGGTTTAACTTACGGATAAATAAGTATATAAAAGCAGCATCTTAGTTTACCATGCATTGCTAGATAGGAAGGACCAAGTTAACTGTTAGTTCAGATGTGACCAAGCAATTTTGGTGTGCATTTGGACTTTTTTTTTTTTTTTTTTTTAAATGGAGTCTCACTCTGTCACCCAGGCTGCAGTGCAGTGGCGCAATCTCGGCTCACTGCAACCTCCGCCTCCCGGTTCAGGCGTCAGCCTCCCGAGTAACTAGGATTATAGGCACCTGCCACCACACCTGGCTAATTTTTGTATTTTTACTAGAGACAGGGTTTCACCATGTTGGCCAGGCTGGTCTCGAACTCCTGACCTCAAGTGACCCGTCTACCTCGGCTTCCCAAAGTGCTGAGATTACAGGCATGAGCCATCATGCCCAGCCTATTACATTTGTGTTTGATAGTAAACAGAGTTTGTGAACCCAGAGGTTTTTAATTGCTGGGACAAAGGGTATTCATATCACTGTTTACAACATTCAACCACGAAGTTCTGTTTTCTTAAACTTAACTAAAAGGTGGAGAATTACACTTCCCTGGCCAGGTATGATATATAAAGTACATATTTATGTCATTAGTGGAACCCAGCTTGAGATAAATTAATGGAGCTTCCATAAATTTTGTCTTTATTCTCATTAGGAGCCAGCTTTTGGCAAAAAAAAAAAAAAAAAAAAAAAAAGCCTATTTCTTCTGTTACTCATACTTACGTGCTACTCAGAAGTCTCTGGCCTAGCCAGGAGATTTTAAATAATCGAAGTAATTCATGTTTTCATTTTAGGGTTCACCTTTAGATGTTCTTAAGGATGAAAGGGTTCAGTACTGGATTGAGAATTATAGAAATTTATTAGATGCCTGGAGATTTTGGCATAAACGAGCTGAATTTGATATTCACAGGAGTAAGTTGGATCCCAGTTCCAAGCCTTTAGCACAAGTAAGTATATTGTTTGGGAGAAAATCAAATTGTAACATGTTGATGTTCAATTTAATAAATTATTATTAGCTCGTTATTTTGCTTATATTGAGTTCCCATTGATGTCTTTGTCTTTTCTAGACTGAGCTTTGTCCTTGATCTTCCTGTCCTTTGGTTCTGCTTCTTGCTAATAGTCATCTCAGTGGCTTGAGCTTTAGTCTGAGATAGAGCAAACCACAGCAGACCTGAAGTTTTCCAGTATATTTCCAGCCCTTTCAGATTCTAAACTATTATATTATCTTATAAATTCCACTTGTGTATTAAGTTTTTTGGCATTATTTATGTGCAGTAAGGCAGGATTTGGGTTTTTCTAGACTTTAGCAGTATTACCTATATCTGTATGTTTAATTACACATGGAAATTTTTTTTAGCATTAGTTTAATAAAAGATTATTGTCACATAAGGTATATCACATTAAATCACTGTGTCTTACTTCAGATATCAAATATTATGTTATCCTCAATATGGGCACTGGATGGTGCTATTTTCTTATTTTAGGAACTTGAGAAAGTGCTTATATTAAAACCAGAGTGTTGATAAAATAGCATTACATGGTAGTACATGTTACTAATCTATCTGATAAGTGATTAAGAGGCTAGCAATTTACTGTAAAACAAAACGAACAGCTTCTATTGCTATTATTCTAAAAATTTAACTATTTACCATTATAAGATTGTTAACTCCTTTTTGTCTTAGGAAGAGCGTTTTCTTTATAAGAAAATTTTGTTCAGAACATTACATCACTGAACTGTGGTTTAGAAGTCATACTGGAATATGTTGTAATGTCCCAGTGTGAATTCTGAAGTCACTGTTATTTCTAAAATGTTGGAGTCTAAAGTTTGAGTTCTTCCACCAATTTCAGTGATATTAGTAAGAATATAATTAAAAAGGAAGTATCCAAAAAATGTAATTGCTAAGTACAAATTTTAAATGAGAGCTAGCCAACCTTAGCAGATAAATTTTGAAATATAAAATAAAGTTTTTTAGAAGTATTTAAAAATAATTTGTTAGGAGCAAACTAAGTTATTTAGCATTCCATTATGGTTTGCATTACATTTATTTTTTCTTTCATTTGTTTTGTAGGTTTTTGTGAGTTGCAATTTCTGTGGCAAGTCAATCTCCTACAGCTGTTCAACTGTGCCTCATCAGGGCAGAGGTTTTAGTCAGTATGGTGTGAGTGGCTCACCAACAAAATCTAAAGTCACAAGTTGTCCTGGCTGTCGAAAACCCCTTCCTCGATGTGCGCTTTGTCTCATTAATATGGGAACACCAGTTTCTAGCTGTCCTGGTATGACATAATTTTACAAAATACTTTATGAGCTGAAATGATTCTTACATAATTGAGTTAATGTTGCAAATAAAATACAAACTAGCTAGAGTTTGTTATTATTTCTAAGAAAGGGCAGTTTACTAGCTTGAAGGCTTTTATGTTCCTGTAATTTATGAACTACGTAAATTAAAAGTAAAATCTATATCTATTGATACTTCAGGTAATTTCACAAGTTCTGACCAATTTAAAGTTTGTGAGAAAAAAATATGAAATAATCTTAAAATATTACCATTTTCTTATCACTGTTTTCACTAAGGGGAGTTGGTTCAAATTTGATTATCTAAAACTCAGTATACCTGCACCTAATTAACAGATACTTTGTATTTCTAAGGATCTTTTGACATCATTAAAGCACTTTGACATTTCTTCTTCATTCATCTTCAAAACCTACCTGTAAAATACATAAGAGAAGGGTCAGGTGCGGTGGCTTATGCGTGTAATCCCAGCTCTTTGAGAGGCCAGGGCAGAAGGATTACTTGAGCCTGGGAGTTTGAGACCAGCCTGGGCAAAATAGTGAGACCCCATCTCTATAAAAAATTTTTTTGGCCGGGTGTGGTGGCTCAAGCCTGTAATCCCAACATTTTGGGTGGCTGAGGCTGGTGGATCACGAGGTCAGAAGATCGAGACCATCCTGGCTCATACGGTGAAACCTTGTCTCTACTAAAAATACAGAAAATTAGCTGGGCATGGTGGCACACACCTGTAGTCCCAGCTACTTGGGAGACTGAGGTAGGAGAATCACTTGAACCTGGGCGGCAGAGGTTGCAGTGAGCCAAGATCGTGCCACTGCACTCCAACCTGGGTGACAGAGCAAGACTGTCCTAAATTTTAAAAAAAATTTTAATTAAAAAATAATAATAAATAAGAAAATGCATAGAGAAAGTATCAGCCTAGAAGTCATGTCCCTTGACTGCTAGATTTCGATGCTGCTTCTGCTGTTTGTCAGTTACCTAGTAAATTTATATATATATATTTATATATATATATAAATGAAGGCAATACGTAATGTTTTAAATGTACGTTTTAGTTTTGATTTAAATTTTAATCAAGGATTTTTATTTTATACATTGCATACTGACTGATCACTCTTTTATGTTACTCTGGTCCTAATAAGCAGAAAATAACAATTTGGAATATATACATATATACACACAGTGTTTTTGTTTTGTTTCATTTTGTTTTTGAGACAGGATCTCATTTTGTCACCCAGGATAGAATGCAGTGGCATGATCTCGGCTCACAGCAACCTCTGCCTTCTGCCTCCTGTCTCCTGGGCTCAGGTGATCCTCCCACCTCAGCCTCCCAAGTAGCTGGGACCATAGGGTTTCGCCCTGTTGCCCTGGCTGGTCTTGAACTCCTGAACTCAAGCGATCCACCTGCCTCAGCCTCCCAAAGTGCTGGGATTACAGGCATGAGCCACCATGCCCAGCCTATATTTTGTAATGGTTAGAAATATTAAGATTATTTTTTACTCTTTATAGTAAACATGGAAAAAAATTTTGAGAATAGTAGATAATCAGATATCTTATACCTGGTGGCTGGAATTATTCCAGCTGTTTACCTAATTTGAAAATGATACTGTGGCAAGATTTTCAATTAAAATCATTTTAGGTATTTGGCACACAGGTGTAATGAATAAAGAACTGGTTAGAGTGTGAGAGTGTCTGTTTTAATTCTAGCTCTATGACATTCACTCTGTGACATTGATAGTTACTTGCACCTTCCTCTGGACTGGAGATCTTTTCTAGTGCACACATTTTATAATTCTATTCTGTATCTTGTTCATTTAAGTAGTCTGCTTTATCATTACATTAACATTTATGAAAGACTTGCTGGTATCATTGGCTTAGCAATTATTTTTCCATCTAGATGCTTTTTTAAAAGAAATGAAGGCAATACGTAATGTTTTAAATGTACATTTTAGTTTTAAATTTTAATCGAGGATTTTTATTTTATACATTACATACTGATCACTCTTATGTTACTCTAGTCCTAATAAACAAAATAACAATTTGGAATATCTACAACAATGAGAGCACAAGGAGGTAAAATATAGCATAAATAAGTCATATATGTGTACGAACTGAGATATATAGAAATAATTAAATGGAACACATCTTTTGGACCACAAGCCTCAGGAAGCTATAAGGATTATTTGCATTCTTACACCTGGGCACTCTTCCTTTTTGCTGAATATCAGTTTTTCAATCTTTTCTATTTTTGAAATAGGTAAGAAGAGAAAATAATTTTCTAGAATTTGAAGAAAAATCCTAAAACATTTCAAACTCTTTGTTATGATGACTAATATAATGAATAGTTAGCACTCAGGTTTATCAAATATTAACATTTTTCCATATTTGTTATAGAATTTTTTCCGTATTTGCTTCAGAAATAATTTCTTTATATATAATACATATTTGAACACTGTTTTTACGTGTCACATTAATATAAGGCTGATGTGCTGAGATGAATAAATCAAAGAACCTCTTGGAGCTTTTGGTGTACAATAAGCATAGTTAACGAGTATAAAATAAGTGATATTTTCTAGAAAATAAATACTGGTCTACAATTCCATCTGTCATTTCAGAGTCTCTAAAAAGATCTGAAAGTCCAGTGCCTTTTAAAAATAAAATTACAGTAATCTCATTTGGCCACAAAACCTGTTCAGAATTGATGTGAGGCTATTAAGATATTTATCTCTCTTATTTATTAGTGAATATTCATGTTTCACTGCAGAAATACTAATGAGTTTGATTACAGGGTGCTTTAGACTACCCTCAAGGTATACATATTTGCTCCTTTTTTCTAAAATCCCAAACATCCTGGATTCTGGAACACATCTAAACCCCCAACATGAATTAGGACTATTATATAAGGAAAGAATTAGGAATTTTGAGAGTGGGAAATACTACTTCTATCTGAAGAATATCGAAAGCTTCAGGAAGAAGTTACCATTTAAGCCAGTCTTTAAAATTGGTAGATTTAATATATGAAGATTGCAGGGAAGCCTTCCACGTTGTAGACCAAGAGTAAAAGACATGAACTAGGGTGAAGAGATTGGTAAGTATTATAAGTACAGGGGGTGTTGGAAGAGCAAGTGTATTGTTGTGAAAGGACGTAGGAAGTGAACTGCTAAGAAACAGTAGACAAATTAGCAAGAGCCTGAATATGATCTTTAAAGGCATTGCTGAGCTAAGTTAGAGAATAATAAGCACTGTTTAATCATGGAATCAACTTCAGTGCCCATCAGTGGTGGACTGGATAAAGAAATGTGGTACATATACACCATGGAATACTATGCAGCCATGTCTTTTGCAGCAGCATGGAGCTGGAGGCCGTTTTCCTAAGCAAACTAACACAGGAATAGAAAACCAAATACTGCATGTTATAAGTAGGAGCTAAACATTGAGTACATATCGTCATAAAGAAGGAATAACAGACACCAGGGCTTACTGGAGGGTGGAGGGTGGGAGGAGGATTGAAAAACTACCTGTCGGGTACTATGTTTATTACCTGGATGATGAAATGATGCGTACACCAAAACCCCCATGACATGCAGTTTACCTGTATAACAAACCCGCACATGTACCCCTGAAACTAAAGTAAAAGTTTAAAAAAAAGAAAAAGAAGCAAATTCTCTTTTTTGATATGTGAAATCAGAAGAGTCCTAGTTCCAAAATAAAACAGGATCTAATAGAAATCAAGTGCTGGCTAATGGCTCAAGTATCTAAACCTCCGTGGTGCTTTGCCTGCAATCACAGATTGCATCCATCCATCTTGCTTTGTGATTCAAAGAGCTGAAATTTCTACAAGCTTATTTAACTGAGACTTGATATTTTTATACTCAGTTGTGCTTTGAAGATAAGAAATCTATTGAAACAATTCTAACATCATTGTAAACGTCATAAATATTATTTATTCAACAAATGTTTATTTGGTACCTATTGTTCCAAGTGCTAGAAATGTTACAGTAAAGAAAACAAAAATCGCTGCCCTCACAGAACTTAACTTCTGGACAATGACACATTTTTTAAAAGCTAGATTATCTACTGGTTTCCTTCATTTTCTTCTTACGTTATGAGTTAGTGCATAAGTGAAACTCTAGTTTTCCCTAATGTGTTCTGTGGCACTTGTCTTCATAATTCACTATAAATCTTTTAAAATTTGAAGTCATTTGATCTTAAGCCTTTATACTTGGCAATGAGGTAGACCTTAATACTTCCAGCTTCATCAGAAAAACATAAGGGTATGCTTGTTCTGATTCAGTCTGTTATCTGTTTATGTTAGAATTTACAAAAACAAAGTGACAAGCACTAATGAGAGCTTTACATAGAGGTTTAAAGTAGTGTCCATATCAGATCTATATTTTATTTATCTCTTCCCCGTTTCCTTTTTACGCTCTCATTATTGTTGGTGACCCTTTCAGGAATAATTTTATTGTGTTTACATCTTAAATCATTGAATTACTTACACATCCTTTCACCTCATATTATTAGCAAAAACAGATATTTTTAAAAACTATTCCTGACTGCAAGATTATCCTTTTGGTCATGAAAGTATGGCCTGCAATGGTCCAAGCAAAATTTTGAACATAGTTATTGATGCATAATGTCTTTATAGATAGCAAGTAAGTAAAAATATTAAGTCTAATTAAGCAATTGCTTAAGTTACACAAGTCTCATGAAGTGCATTGGGAAACTTTCCACTTTTTCTCTTCTTTCAAAGGGCTTGTACAAATGAGAATTACCTATCCCTTGATTGTTTGTTTTTTTCTTTTTTTGAGACGAAGTCTGGCTTTATCACCCAGCCTGGAGTGCAGCTGTGCAGTCTCGGCTCACTACAGCCTCCAGTCCCAGGTTTAAGCAATTCTTGTGCCTCAGCCTCCCCAGTAGCTGGGGCTACAGGCACGTGTCGCCACCCCCGACTAATTTTTGTATTTTTAGCAGAGACGGAGTTTCACCATGTTGGCCAGCCTGGTCTCGAACTTCTAGCCTCAAGTGGTCTGCCCGCCTCAGCCTCCCGAAGTGCTGGGATTACAGGCATGAGCCACCACACCCAGCCCTACCTGTTCCGTGAATGTTAAGTAAAATTCACTTGTAAACTGGGCCTGGTATTTTCCTTGTGGAAGAATTTTAAACTACTGATTTAGTCTCCCTACAGTTTTAAATTTAGATTGTTTCTTAGTGGGTTTTATTTTTTTCCATTTTTATATTGGCTATTAAAAATGTAGGTGAGCTCTTGTCATTCAGTTTCGCTTCATCTAAACTAGAACCTACCATCAAAATTGCTATTTCAATATGATGTGTGATTCATACTTGGAACACAGTTTTAGAAATGCTTTTTGAAAGTAACTTTAAATAAAATATTGTGATACAGTTAATGAAGATCGTTTTCTTTCGTCATAGGAGGAACCAAATCAGATGAAAAAGTGGACTTGAGCAAGGACAAAAAATTAGCCCAGTTTAACAACTGGTTTACATGGTGTCATAATTGCAGGCACGGTGGACATGCTGGACATATGCTTAGTTGGTTCAGGTAATCAGCACATTTCTTCTTTGATAGGCTTGGAGTTGTGGGGGATAACACAGATTGCTTCTAAATAGTTTGGGTTTATCTATTAACATTTAGCCAAAGTATGAATTTTATTTTTACTGTCACTCAGACGTTAACAAAGGTGGTATGAACATTTCATCATTAGATACCCTATATAACCTTAAACTATAAAGGTAATACTTGTGTAAGAACTAATTTAAATCTTTTGTATGAGTTAAATGTTTGATAACATTATTTAACTTTATTTGGGGAGAGGATATGTTTACAGTTTTTACAACTGAATATGCTGTAATTTATCAGGCAATTGAATTACTAATTAAATGATAAAAGAGCATATCATACTGCTGCCTGAGTTCTCTTCTAAGTAAGCTTTTTATGTAGTCATGCAATTGAGACTCTCAAGATCATATTTGAATTTTATTTTGAATAGTGCCAGTGGCCCTGTGCTTCTGATTGATACAGCATTTATACCCAATTTGTCTCACTAGCCAATTTAAACTCTGAGCACATCCCTGTCACCTTCACAACTGTAAATGAAATATCTTGCCATATATGTAGAAAGTAAAAGGTATGTATTTCTTCTCCCTAAAGTTCAGCTTGGCAGTAATTTATGATTTGATGCTTTTGATGCTTTTTTCCTCTGGGTTTTAGTTTCTACATTTTTCCAAATGCCATTTTGAAAAGTCGCATTATAGATAGATATAAGTAAACAAGTGGGCACAGTGGTGCACACCTGTAGTCCCAGCTACTCAAGAGGCTGAGGCAGGAGGATGGCTTGAGCCCAGGAGTGTGAGTCCAGCCTGGGCAATATAGCGAGACCCTGTCTCTTAAAAAAAAAAAAAAAAAGAGATAAATGTATGTATGTCTAATTTGGATTTTTAACTGTTATTTGACCTGTTTTTTTAGGGACCATGCAGAGTGCCCTGTGTCTGCATGCACGTGTAAATGTATGCAGTTGGATACAACAGGGAATCTGGTACCTGCAGAGGCTGTCCAGCCATAAAATGTTATCACCTTAAGAGAAACCTTCAAGTGTGGAGCTTTCTAATAGGTGTCCTTCATAGCTCAGAAACATACCTCAGAACAAGTCATTCATGACTTACCTGTAATGGGAAAATAAATCATTCTATCAGATCAGCAGTTTTGATGTTTGAGTGATTTTGATGTGCTTCACAGAGACAAATGCTGCTGAAATAAACATCACAGTATAGACATGAGTTCTGTTCAGCAGGTTGAAAAGTCTACTTTAGAAAAACTTTCTAAGTTTTGGTTGAAATTATGAACACTCTACAAGCAAAATTTCTGGAATAGCCAAGAACAGATTTTGAGCCTATATCTTCAAAGCTGAAATTGGATATCTTTCAATAAAATATGTGCACTTTTAAAATAAAATGACTAATTCTATGATTCAGACAATAGTTTTAAGTTCAGCTGTGCTTAGATTTCTTTCAGATTAATTTAAAATTATAGATTTTTACTTTTAGAATTGAAGAGCCCCTATCCCACACTGGAGAATATTTTTTATTACTGTCTGTTATATATATGTGTGTATGTGTGTGTGCCTATTTATGTGTGTATGTATAAATATGTATTTTTTAAAGGAGCCTTTTCCCTCATATACTTTGATTTTAAGATAAGCAATCTTTTGGCGTAGACATTATCATCTTCCTAGAAAAGTCAAGAGGAAGAATCTATCTTACGACTTTTTCTCTTCAGAAGAGAAAAACATGTACCATTTCACGTGAACATACAAAATTTTCACTTTCTACCTTTTGCTTTCCAATGTCCTGATTTGTCTTCAAAGGTTTTTCTCCATACTAATTTGTCATCCTCATCACCTGAGAACATTTTACTGCATACAAAGTCTATGCAAGATTATATGTAACTAGCCATTTAGTACAATGTCAGTGTTTCTGTACTGTCAAATTCCATCCTAATTTGGAATACCATACCTTGTTCTTTCCAAGGTAGACTAGGAAGTGTTGGAGAAATAGGGTCACTTCAGAGACCACTTTAGATGTAAGTTTTTAAATATTAAGTGTTACTGGGGCTAAGTCAGGGACTTTATTTTAAAATTTATTTTTTCTCATTTCATAGCTAGATAGTTATAAGAGAAATACAAAGAATTTACAAGATGCCTCTCTGTCATCTGCCATATGCAGAGGGACTGAACTAGGAACTTTGTAGTTGAATCTGTATTCATAAAGAGTAAATCTAATTTTATTTTATAGATTTTGGAGAAATAAAACAAGAATTTTAAGAACTTTCGTATTAGCAGTTTTGCCTTATAAAAACTAAGAGTTGTCAGATTAGAGGTACAACCTAAATATTAAAAGTAGATTAAATTTATTTTTAACCTTGAGTATCTGATACATAAAACCCTTTTCTAGGAAAACATTAGAAGTAGTACATATCTACTCTAAATGTTTCACCTACATGAGTCTTTTCAAATGAAAGACATGGGAATTGCAAATTTTTTTAAAGATTGCTATTAAGGGTACTTTTTCCAGTCTTCGTTTGAGTAAATCTTAATTGATTTCATTTTATTAACATATACCCTTTACCTTTAATATTTCATTTGAAGTGTTCCTTTCAAATTTACTGTGTCCTAAATATGAAAGTCAGCTTTAAGTAATGTCAGACTCTTATGTACATTTTCATTTCTCATTAAAGTAAAATATAAAATTATTGAATTTATCTGAAATAGTTACAAGTTTTGGAAATACAGCATAAAACATGAATGTAAAGTCTATTATGTATGCGTATTTGTAATCCTAATATATGAGGGTGACATTTTTAAGATTGTATGTATGTGTCAACCTCTTAAATGTTTTTTGTGAAGCCCAAACATGCAGTTTATGTCTCTGGTGTTTGTTTTGCATTTTAGTGTGCATGGACAATGAAGGTAGATTCAAATTATTTTCTCTTTTTTATCACTAAGTCACTGGTATTTGGGTTTATAAACTCGACAAGATACTTTACCTAAACATGATCAATAGCCGTGTTTAATAAAAGTGTTTTTACTATTTTTAAAAGATTGAATAAATCTGGTTGAAGTCATTGTATCAAGAAATTATGGTTTCTTTACAAATAGTCCACATGAAGTAATATTGGTACTTATTTTGATGACAGACTTCATACTTAATATTAGAAGTAACATTCCTTTTAGGCTCTGTTTTTCAGTTTAACCCACTTTCCAGAATGGTTCTTATCCTTATTTTAAAAGCTTCCCATTGTCAATGCTTCACATAGTGAGTATTTAAAAGATTGTAGTTCTGCATTTAATTAGATGACTCAATTTCAGTCATTCATTTGACTGCAAGTAGTAAAAGCATGGTCTTTGAAACATAAAGTATAATCCTAGCCTTGGGATCTTGGGTAAGTGACTTGACCTTTTTGAGCTTCAGTTTCTTTATATGTTAAAAAGAAAGATATAGAAAATACCTACCTCATAGAGTGTGGGAGTATTAGGTGATGCAATAAACATGAAGTGCCATATCCCTGTCACATAGTGCTCTTTAAATGGTAGTGATGAGCATTGTTACCTTCATTTTCACAGATTGCTCATGTATCAGTACTTTTTCAGTGAATACAGTATAATTTTAACAAAGAATCTACATTTGTCTCAAGAATGAAAATTTCCTTGGTGTGAGTTGGCTGAAATAGATTTTTTTTAAAAAGAATGAAAATTCCCAATAATAGTAATACTCCAAATATAGGGTAAACAAAAGTAACTAAGTCCTATCTCAAAAGAAAAATGCCATAATTTGGATAAATTTGGAGTATTACTGTTTTTTTTTTTGCATGCAAAAATCCTTCAACTGACCTCCTAGGAGTTAAACGTGATATGAAAATGAACCCAGAGGAAAAAATTACGGCAAATTTAACAACTGACTATTGAAAACTCTAAGTTTTTATATCTATTCTCAACTCTTAATTTAACTAGGTTTAAATTGAACTCACTAATCTGGATACTTGGAGAAAGTATCCAGGATTATTCTGTGTACTTTTTCCTTTTCTGCCATTCTGCTACACTTGACGTTCATTTAAGTTAAAATGTTGGGGTGGTAGTGGTAATTTCAAAAGTATACTGTGAGACTTGCTTTCCCGAAATAGCCATAATTAAAGCTAGTGGGCACAGTTTCTGACATCTGCACAGATAGGCATCAGAGAAGTGGGAGACACATATTTGGGTCAATATCTTGTATCAAGTCTAGTGACGCACATCACAATGACAGAAACAGGCCTTGCTAGATAGCAGCTCCCCTATCCACTACTCACTCCTTCCATTACATCATCTGCAAGTTTTCTCTCCTACCTGCAAATGTTATAGGTTTCTTTGCTGATTATAACAAGTAACACTTTACAAATATATTAATTTTTATAAAATACTACTTCTCCCAGAGTGCAGAGACAGAAGGAAAGCCTCCCAAAGTTTTTAAAAGCTAACAACCCAGATACCAAATTAACACAAATTTAACATGATAAAATCACAAGTAAAATTAGTTATCAAATGCAGCAGTATATAAATCACTGTTAATGCCTTTTATGTGCTAGGTGCCAAGCGCATTACCCTGTTTTTGCAATAAACCTATGGGTTAGTTATATCATTATTGTCCTCATTCTGTAAATGAGGCAATTCAGGCATAGATACATCAGTTCACTTGTCCTAGGTTACACGAGTAGCAAATATAGCCAAGACTTAGATTCCAGTAGTCTTGACTTCCTAAGCTGCCCTTTTAATTTCTGTTTTCTGCTTCTGTGTACTACTTTGTAGGTTCTGTATATAAGAGAATGATTCACTATGACAAAGAAGGGTTTATTCCAAGAAATAAGTACTGGGTAATATTTTAATCATATTTAGTATTAATACACCAAAAGAAGAACCATGTCAGTAGCTCTTTGGATGTACAAAGCACTTGATAAAATTCAAAAATTGATCTCTAATTTGTTTTTTAGGTTAGTTGTTATTCAAAGGAAATGTTTTCTGTCCATTTTCTCCGCTCCTATTTCACTGTCTCACACATCATGATGCCTGTTAGAGAAATACTAGAATCCTTCTCACTATAGACAGCAGCAATAAGATGTGGATGCTGTTGTCACTGGTTCTGCACATGGCAATGAAAAAGAAGAAAGCGAAAGGAGGCACACCTTTGCTTCTTTTCCAAATCATCAAAATTTGGTATGGCAAAAATCATAAATAGTTACAAAGCAAACAAATTGATAAACTACAACATTTATGACAAATTGCCTTAATTCATACAGGACATTTTCAAAGCCGAGGAAAAAACAGTCAGTAGATAATATCAATCAAAGACTTGTGCAAGCAAAATAGAACAGCTGACAAATTTAAATAAATGCTAAATCAGTAACATGCTGATTAAAAAGTAGATTACTTTTTGCTTGTCTGCACAGATTTAAAATAATAGGCATTTTCATGGATATGGGAAGGAAACATTCTGAGATAACAGCTTATGAGAGTTTTAAGTCTTGAGGACAGGTAAACTGTATTAATCAGAAGCCGTAAAAAGGTTCATACCCTTTGACATAGTATGCTGGGAATATTTTCTGAGGAATTGATTGCATAAGTGCACAAAGATGTATATTTGTATGATATGATTCTACACAGTATTGTTTATAATAAAAACTTGGAAACCTAAATGTCCAATAATAGAAAAGAATAAATTATTGTATATGCATATAGTGGGTTACTAAGAAATGATTCAATTAGTATAGATGTTTTCATTGACAAAGGTTTCTTAATGGTAAGTGAAAGGAAAGGGAAGTTATAGTATATCTAGCATATAAATATGTTTGTATGGGATATGGTTAATACAGAAACTTTTAACAGTGGCCATCTTTAAAGAGTGGAATTTTGAGTAACATTTTCTTCATATCTGTATCTTTGATTTTTCCCAATAATAATGAATATATAAATGTATGTGCATCTCTCTCTCTCTTGCGCGCGCGCACACACACACCATATATACACACACACGTATATATGTGAATATATAAATGTATATGCATCTCTCCTGTCTTGCACACACACACACCATATATACACACACATACCCATATATGTATTACATATACACATATACATGTGTATATATATATATACTGGCTTTTAGAAAAGTTATCCATGACCTTGTATCTTGTTATTAAACACAGTGAAGCAATCATGTGTTAGGATTTATTTTATGAGGTGAAAAAACAGGCTACAAGGTATTATGAAAATTTGGATTGAGATCTATTTGTTCAGAAAGCATTTTCTAGATTTCTTATTCTATACTAGTGATATACAGGAATAACAAGATATAGTCCTCTCAATTCTTCATTACATTTGGAAGTAGTACATTATGTTCTCTATTTAGCATATTGGGAAATGA